GGAAATGTGTGCAGTGACTTAAATGTAGCGAATATTTCCAGTGTGGAAAGAATGAAGTGGAAGTGACATTAACACACCGAGCTCCATCCGTTACTCCTTCTCTCTCTTTCTCTCTCCTCGGAGACTGAGCAGTGACGCAGATTACCACTTGCATCCATTTGCCTTACTGGCTAGATATGTTAATCATCTGCTGGGTAATTGCCTCTGTAGTGCCTTGATTAAGTTGAGTGATACGTCAAGGAAGTGTGCCTCAAAGCCATACTTCCCCCACCTGAGGAGCCTGTTATTATTTTGGAGTCACAGCCTAAAGTGTCCCCCCATGAAATGACTAATTATCCAACATTGGTTCCACAGGTCTCCTCTTTAAGAGAAAAGTGACTCCTTTGATAGTGATATGAATCTCGACTCTGTAAAGGAACGACACATTCCCCTGGTGGAGAAAAGCCCTCATCAGCTCATCAAATACTCAACCTCCTCCTCTTTTATTCCACTGATCTTATTTCCCGTCTCGCATATGCATACATAATGACAGACACCCGTGAGTTGATACAGCACATGCGCTTTCTGAACATCTTGTTCCCTTAATATAACATCTGACCAAAAGTGAGAATCGTTTGTTGATTATGATCTGTCCCTAAAAAGCCAGACAGTTTTTCATAGTGCGGTGTCAGACAGGGGTAAACCGAGGTTACTCGGCTTTCCTAATTGCTGCCATAACAGCAAAGCGTGTTTAAGCCGTAATTAAAAGTGTGTGGTTTTTAGTGCGAGCGAATCTGTGTTGTCTACGTGTTTGAAGAGGCTGGGGTGGGTTTCTCTTCATCTTCCCCGGTGGCTCTCCACTTTAAAGCAGCCTGCGCGCCCTGCCTCTACTGTCAATCACAGTTTAAAGTTCATGAAATTTCTATGAGGATCGATCCAGGGAGGAGGAGGAGGTAGGAGTGTTTGGGGGTTGCAGGGGTTAGGGATGGGGGAACGGGCCGTAATGATTGATCAGAACTTGCACTTTGAATCTCACTTCTTGATTTATTCCTTCAGAGTGGTGCAAAGAAGCACATTCGGATTTTTCCGGCAGGTGTTTCCACGTGCCATGACCTTTTTTGACGTGAGGACAAAGAGGAGATGGATGAGTTGAAATCGATGGCACGCAACAGGGGGTCTTCAGACTTTTGTCAACAAGCCAGATCGTCGACTTCGTGGCGACAGACTAGAACAAGAAAACAAATCGCTTCCTCTCACGTCGCCCCGTTGCGCGTCTGTAAATGTCCTCCCCCTAAAGAGTAGTGGGGCAATCTAAGTGCGAGATACCCATCGGCAGGTGAAAGAGCCGCTTGGAGCCATTCTCTCCCATATCAATCATGTAGCACATGAAAATGAGAAATTGAGGCGTGTTGCATCGGAATCCGAACCCGCATCAAATTCTCTATTCCATCAATGTGCCTCCCATGGACAGAGCAGGGCTTGATCAAGTGTTTTAGATGGGCCGAGGGCTCCATCTGAAATTGTTCAGTCTGCGTTAGAGGGAGACCGCTGAAATAGCCTCTCTCTGAATGGCGCAGATACACAGTTGCGATTGTGGCCTAGGGGGGCATGACTACGCTTACAATCGCTACATCACAGAGGCTAAGGAGGAGAGCACGGGAATGGATATGGCACCTAAAAAGCCTGTGTTGTAAAGACAGACGCCATCAGGAAGATGGGAAACATGATCAGCCTGGGGGCCTGTTGGAAAGTGGGAACAAGAGAATGTAAATAGAAAAACAGAGGAGGGTAAATAGATGTAAGCCCATCGGAGAGCATGGATATAAACAAGTGCAGACTGAACGTATATACAGTTGGCGGGAGACAAGTTATTGGGGCTGGGCTGGGAAATTAGGCGCTGTGTTATCTTGTGGAGCAGGGTTGTGTGCCATTCATAATAGTTTTTAAGTTACGCTCCAGAATTGGAATTGAATTTGAATTCAGAATAGTTTTTAAATTCCAATTACATTCCTGAATTTGAATTGAGGTAGCAAACAGGATACAACACTGCAATTCCAATTTCATAGTAAGGAAGTGAAATTAAAATGAAAGGAAATTCCTAGAAAAGAAAAACTACATTTTAAATATAAAAGCAAACTGATTTTAAAGTAAAAAAAAAATGCTTAAAAAGCATGAAGCTTAAAAGATGGATGGATGGAATGAACGAACAAATGAATGAATGAACAAACAATGGATGGATGGATGGAATGAGCAGATATATAGATATAGATAGAATGATGGATGGATGGAATAAACATATATTTTTAATAAACTCTATTGACTGAATTGTGAATTGTGTACAAGGGATTACCTCTGTTGAATATGTTTGAATTGCAAATCATTTTCTTGTCACTCCAATTCAAATCCCAATTCAGCTTCCTATGTGTTGTGTGTGGAGCCAATTATTCATTTACATTCTCTGCTTTTTCTCTCATTCTGGTTGTATATATTTTCCTCTCCTCTTTAATTTCCCTCCCTCTTTTATTAGTAAGCATTGCCCTCATTAGATCTGGCTATCATGAGTTGGTGCATGTTGAGTGGTTTTCCAGTCAGCCCTATTTGACCTCTGACTTCTGCAGAGCGTATAATAAGAACAGAGAGGTATGCTGGGATTGATTTTCGAGTTTCACACACTACCTCTAATTTGCTAGATAGATAGCGTTCCGGCGAGCTCATATGTGAGGACAAACGCAGGTGTGCAGTGCAGGTTAACTGCATGTCAGAGGTCAAATGCTCAACGGTTTTGCTGATGTGTGTCGATGATGATGGGGGACACGATTCAGACTCGACCCTGCAGTGCTGATGATCAAAATCTTGACAGTAATAGATCTAGTTATGCAAACAACATATGAGGAAATGCTTTTTTGTCTCCTATATGGTGGCACATTGTGTTGTCCCGTCCCACTGGACATCTGAAAGAGGAAATCATATGAATCTTTCACTGTTACCTCACACCCCAAAGCAACCTTCTATTTAGCATCAGTAGATCTCAGTGGAGTGTGTGATAACCTTCAAACGAGAAACAGAGAGAGAGAGAGAAAAGAGATGTGTAGCCCCACAGCGCCTGCAATGAGATGATTAAATTAATAATAAATATACATCCCTCTATTCGTCTCCTCCAACACACACACACACTCGCCACCTCTTCAGCGAACTGCATTATCTTTCCCTTTTCGCAATCGCACGTCAGGCACAGCAAAGACGTGTGGATGGCTGAGAGGAAGGGAGAAAAAAATCAATACAAATTACGACGGAGAAAGTGGCACTGATGGCTAGAATTGCAGCATATGTTTACACTAAATCAGGCAATCTATCTTCATATGGGCTGTGTAATGCAGGCGGGGTCAGGGTTCGGCCCGCGCACACACACTCTCCAATTACTCCCACTTCTCTGTGGGAGGCAGCCGTATCGATTGGCTGAGAGGACAGAGGCCCTGCAGGCAGCCAGTGGGGCGCAGGGGTCAAAGTTCAGGGGGATTTTAATAAGAGAAGTAATGGGCTTAATTTCTTGGGGGGTGTGATTGAGAGACAAAGCCCTCCCTCTCATGTCTCCTGTCCAACGGTTCATTAAAGTGCAAGTTTTATGGGATTGCTTTGTGAAATTGCTCTCATGAAAGCTCTTCTTCCGATGTTCCCGTGTCTCATTCCTTTTCTCTCATTCCTTTCTTCTTTCCTCCCTCATCTTTAGTTCTTTTGAGGGTTTTTTGCTTATTCATTCATCTGTATGTTCGTTTGTTTGTTCATGTGTTCGTTCATTAATTTTTTAATTCATTCTTATTTGTGCTCATTTGTTCATTCATTCGTTCACTCCATTCCTTTCTTTCTTTCTTTCTTTCTTTCTTTCTTTATCTCTCCTTCTGTCTTACACTCTTTTTTCCTGACACCTTATATCCAGATGGCGGTGATTATAGCATAGCAGACTGTCAAAAAATGACACAACAAAACAACGGCACGTAGATCGCTTACTGAGTCTAATCACACTGCCATTTGATCAAACCGCAGTTCTCCCGACTTGAAGAAGGAACGTGATCGTTTCCACAGAGCCTTTCTCAGAGCATCCTGAGAGACTGTTCCCTCACTTTCACGGGTGCATTGAGTCACAAAGACCCCGACACACCCCCTCCTCAGCAACCGCTGTCACTCCGCTAGCTCTTTTCTCCTCCTCGCTGTGAAACCAGCTCAAACAAATTTGATTTAGCAGCTCGCCGAGACCCATTCCCGAGGAAAGAAAACAAATATTGTTATAATGGTAATAACATCTATTTGCCGCGCACGACAAACGGCACCGGGCCCTTTGAAAAGAGGCCCCTGCTCCTGCACAGCCACCTTATTCTTATTCATGAAAGCATCGCTTATGCATATTAGTGCAAACTAGGTATTCTACTCGCTAGCATTTGGACTGTCAATCATCCTTACAGAATACAAGAGGCAACGGTGACAAAAGCGGACCGGGCAAGAAGGCTGACAAATTGTCCCCAAAGTCAAATTTGACAGCCTTTTATGATTAATGGGCTTGATTATGGAGAAATATCTCCCTAACTGCTTTCCGGGTGTTTCTTTCTGCCATCGTATCGCGACAGAGATGGGAAAGAGGGGCTAAGCGGAGGTGCTGTTTGCAGTGAGAGAATGAAATAAACGTGAGCAGGGTTGAGTGAGAAGAAAAGAATTGAATCAGGCAGGAAAGGTAAGAGTTTGGAAATAAAGAAGTGTAAAGAGGGACAGGAAGGCCATAGGGCCTCACTAAACACTTCATAAAACAAATTCACACAGGGGTAAGCCTGGATTGATGCCACAGGGATGAGCATAAACAAATATACAGGGAGAAATGTACACAGACGCACGTTGATATTTAACTCCGCTGAACTCTGGGACATCATGGCAGAGAACTCTGGGAAATGGACAAGATGACATAATGGCCTCTTTCTGAGAGAACTGCAGTCAGTTAAATCAAATAAACTTCTTATTTTCGGTTTCTCCCGCAGCTCTGAATGAACCCACCATAGACTACGGCTTCCAGAGGCTACAAAAGGTCATCCCTCGTCACCCTGGAGACCCGGAGAGGTTACCTAAGGTAAGTGTGGTCGGCAGAAAATGCTTTCGCTGCATATTTTTCCATTCTATCAAAATCAGATTTTGTTTACCCTGGCCATGCTTTGGATTTGCACAAGCTCTCCTGCATTTGAAAGAAATGCTTGAGATAAATTTGAAAATAGGTGTAAAGCATTCGCTAGATGGGAGTTGAATATTTCATCCTCAGATTTGGCGTTGCATCTCCAGTCTTGCTGAAAAGTACAAGTGTTTTCTTATGTCTGTGAAGCAAACCTTGTTTCTGAAAGCCTGAGGGTCTTCTGTTTGATAGCGTAGAAGAGCAGCTCATACTGGCTTGTGAATGAAAAAACAACTGTTTGTGTGATGCCGACTTTGAGAGGGTGAGATGGAGGTTAGATTGCCACTGTTATGCATGCTGGTGGCACATTGCAGCTTTGGGGCAGCAACCAGCAACAAATCAAAGAACAAAGCTGATATGCATTGGATGCAGACTGTGTGTGTGTATATATATATATATATATATATATGTATATATATACAAAACACACATGGGTGCGCACACACGTCGATTCAAGCGCAAAAACTCAATGTGCCATGGATGGTTTGCTGCCTGGTTAGTATGAAAAGATTATTTTCCCCTAAAAAGGCAGGAAGCTAAGTGAGAGAGATTCTTTCGGGCAGGGCGCTGGTGTAGGAGGGGATCAGATCTGATGCGGACTGACACTTTAAAACAGCTGCCAAATTGAAACCATTTATCAAAATCTGACATCTGAGATCCAGTCACCAAAAAAGCAGTTTATTTGTAAATTGATACTAATAGTGAGCATACATTGTCTGGGTGCTTTGATGCTGCGATATGTGGCAAAGGGAGACCGCCAGCTATCACCTCTCATATACTTATACATTCAAGAGGAAAACTCAATAAGAATGTAGACAGGTTTTTTTCAGGCCGTCTTTTTTCTGTTCCCGGTACCTCGGTTTTTTGACACAGTCGTATAAATAAATAACCAAGTAAATACATAAAGCAGTAAGTAGGTAAATAAATAACTAAGTGAATGAATAAGTAATTGAGCATGCAAATAAGTAAAAATAAATAAATAAACAAATAAATAAATATAAAGTTTGGTAAATAACTATTCCAAGCTGTGCATGAACAACCTTGTTTGTCCATTTAACACTGTTATATGTTTCATAGATATAGATATATCTATATATTTTATTACACACACACACACACACACACACACACATATATATATATAATGGGTGCGCACACACGTCGATTCAAGCGCAAAAACTCAATGTGCCATGGATGGTTTGCTGCCTGGTTAGTATGAAAAGATTATTTTCCCCTAAAAAGGCAGGAAGCTAAGTGAGAGAGATTCTTTCGGGCAGGGCGCTGGTGTAGGAGGGGATCAGATCTGATGCGGACTGACACTTTAAAACAGCTGCCAAATTGAAACCATTTATCAAAATCTGACATCTGAGATCCAGTCACCAAAAAAGCAGTTTATTTGTAAATTGATACTAATAGTGAGCATACATTGTCTGGGTGCTTTGATGCTGCGATATGTGGCAAAGGGAGACCGCCAGCTATCACCTCTCATATACTTATACATTCAAGAGGAAAACTCAATAAGAATGTAGACAGTTTTTTTTTTTCACGCCGTCTTTTTTCTGTTCCTGGTGCCTCGGTTTTTTGCCACAATCCTATAAATAAATAACCAAGTAAATACATAAAGCAGTAAGTAGGTAAATAAATAACTAAGTGAATGAATAAGTAATTGAGCATGCAAATAAGTAAAAATAAATAAATAAACAAATAAATAAATATAAAGTTTGGTAAATAACTATTCCAAGCTGTGCATGAACAACCTTTGACTGTGTTTTAGCATATACTTGACTCCTTCCAAATCCTTGATCAGATCTGCAGTGTGTGTGCCAGTGATGGCCCCAGCATTTAGAAACCCAGCTGTGTTTGTCTGACGACCTTTGCTGGGGCCAGGCGTGTATCAGGTTTATCTATAATTTCATTTCCAGGCCCGGGTTTGGCCGTGAGCACACACCTCTCCATCCAGATAGATCAGGAATATGGATGTGATTCAGGACGCTGCTCTGTCCCGCAGGCAGCTGTGTTTCTCACTGGCATTTGGGACAGACGTTCACAGGCGGTCCCAGGTTACCGTAAGGTTAACGACCTGTGACATCCACTCTAATTGACACCTGGATTATGGCGTGTCTTATAAACTGAGAAGGGGGGGTCTTTCTTAGCAACTGTTTCCAACACAAGAAAAATGTATGTACATTAAATGAACTGAAAAAGTCCTGTTTGCATACTGAAATATTTGTAAATGGGCTTCCTGCTCAGTCAGTTGGGGAAGTCGTGGCCTAATGGTTAGAGAGTCGGACTCGTAACCCAAAGGTTGCGAGTTCAAGTCTCAGGTCCAGCAGGAATTGTAGGTGGGGGGGAGTGAATGTACGGCACTCTCTTCCACCTTCAATACCACGACTGAGGTGCCCTTGAGCAAGGCACCGAACCCCCAACTGCTCCCCGGGCGCCGCAGCATAAATGGCTACCCACTGCTTCGGGTGTGTGTGTGTTCACTGCTGTGTGTGTGCACTTAGGATGGGTTAAATGCAGCGCACTAATTCCTAGTATGGGTAATCATACTTGGCCACATGTCACGTCACTTTCACTTTCAGAGAGAATATGCACTTTATGTGCATGTGGCAGCTCCCAGAAGCACTGGATAGGAGAGACTGGAGCTAGCTGTCACAGTTTGTACTTGAGTGAATATTTCTCAGAGTGGGTTTAGTCAGTTTCTCAATAGATGCAAATTTTGACCTTAAAACGCTATTGAACTTTACACACTGTTTTACACACACTTTTGTGACAACATGCCCCAATGGTAAGGCATATTGTTACATTATGGGGTAAGTTAAAATAATTTGATTAACAGCCATTAAACTATATGAGGTAAAATATATACTATACTATACTATACTATACTATGGTAAACAGCAAATTAATTAGCTAAAATTAAACAGCAAAATAATAAATAAAACAAAATGTAACAAAAAATACATTTGTGGAGTTGGATTTTTCACTCAAAAACCCCGTCTTCCTTTTCAAGTCCTGTTCATTCTACTATGTGCCCTTTTTAAGAGGAAATAGATTATTGACTTCCTTTGCCTTGTCATATTGGCACATTTTACTTTATCAGTTGCTCTTTATTAGCACAATAAGCTTATATGTGTGTGTGCAAGTGTTGTAATGTTGTATATGTATGTATGTGTGGTGGACCTCTGTTCACCAGGCTCAGTGTGTGTATGTGATTTATCATTGTTAGGGGACCTGTCGGATGGCTTGCTCTCCCGGGTCAGCTGATCTGCTCTCACAGGCGCTTGAGAACCATCCTCCCATAATTGAGCCCCTGGAAAAAAAGCAAGGGGAAAACAGGAGGAAGAAAAGATAGGAGGAAGATAGAAACAGGCTTGTCGGGAGACAGCCTTCAGGGTTAGAGAGCCGAGAGCCGGGTCAATCTAGAGTCAAACAGACTCACCTTGTTACCTGTGCTGAATGAACTGTAGAGTGTCTGAGCGACTCCTCGTGACCCATTCACCCACATACACTTCACACACACACACACACAGACAGCGGGAGGCCGGGAGTGTTGAGATGGTTTCATGCTGTGATGCTGTGCTGTGGAGGTCTGTGAAAAGGAAAAGGAGAGGAACACAGCATCTCAATGCGCCGTAACACGTGCTCTCTGCCTTTTGGCAGGTAGAGTGAAGAGATTAACATGCAGACATGAATCCAGCTCATCCAGAACACCTCTCAGGGGAGGGAGCCGCTCACATGCCTCCCCGAGCGAATCTCTCCGAGTCCAAACCCTTTCTGGCCTGTCTCTTAAAAATAAAGGTTCCAATTAGAACCGAAAAGAGTTTTACTGGCCGGTGTTCCACAAAGAATGTTTTTATATTTTACTGTTCTCAGATGATGCTAATGCTAATAACGATGCAAAATGCATGTGCATATAATTGCACATAGTTAGGATAATAAAAAATACATTTTTTAAAAGGGAGGGAGATATCTTTTGTTTTTGACTTTAGGGATGCATCGAAACAAACTTTATGGTACTTCAGTGCACATTTTACACAAATCTTTTGGTAATATGGCCAATACTAAAACAATATTTGCCCAAGTGTTATTTTAATATTATCTATGTACTAACGTTTTATTTAAAATTGTAATTAGCTTTTATTTTATATTTTCAGTTTTCATTATTAATTTTTAATGTGCTTTATAAATAATAAATAATATTTATTAATTGTTAATACAGTACTGTACTATTTAGTGTCCTAAGAACCAAATAGACAACTCAAGATACCTAGAAAAATGATTTTTCATATCAAGAGGATCTTAAGAAGCTGCAAAGAATGAGGAACCAGAAATCACAAAGTGGGACAATTCCTCCAATCGCTGACCCTGCAGAGGATCGCTCACAGTCCTCTTAGTAGCACAAGAGTGACTCCTGCCTTGTCCTTAACCTGTGACGCAAGGGACCCTCTGTAAGGTCCCATCACCTGATCCCCAGCATTGCCTGGGGCTCCCGGGTGAGGAGGAGAGGGTGTCAAATTGGGGCTTTGCAAAGAAAGTCCACCACCCTAGAGTAATAAAGATCACAGGATGACTAATTGTATGCCTGGCAGGCGGCAGATCTTTACACCTCAACAGTCAGCTAATAAGACAAAAGGCCCAGCGCCTGTCTCTCCCAGGGCCAGGTGGCATACCTCTGGAGCCCAGAGCGAGGTCAGGTGCTCGGGCCGACCGGCTGTAATCATCAGCGGGTCTACTTGAGGGCAACTGCCACCTTATCAATCATTGATTGAATTTCATTAGGGGTTCAACAGAGTGAGTATTGAGCCTCGAAGTGATATTGAGGTTATAGTGCAGCTTGACTACAGGGAACGCAGCGCTGATTTGTGCTGGCAGACTTAATTTGAGAGGGAATGTGCTGGACTTTTTGTTTGGGCAGAGAAAGTGTGATGTGAAATAGTTTGTAGAGACGTGTGAGGGGTACGTGTGTAAAGTAGCCGCAGGTCGTTTTATAGACGCCACATAAATAATGAAGTAAAGCTAAGTCCACCACCGAGCAGAACTGTGCAGTTTATTCACCTTGTGGCTGTTTGAAGTCATTTTATACCTCTCTCTCTTGCTTATTCGTCTTTCTTCATGCCTCACGTTCTTATATTTCTCAAATAATTATTTTCTTTTTATATTTTACAGGCGACCAAAACAGTTTAGCTTTACGTTATATGTATTCATATTTTTTTAATCCAAAGTGACTTTTAAATAAGGAATACAATGCTGTGAAACAAATATACAAAATAAATATATTTTGTTATTATTAAGATTATTTAATTTGATTTATTTTAATTTAAATAATAACATTTACACAATCTTGAAAAACACTTTTTTACTAATACTAATTATGTATATTAATAAGCATTATTATTAATATTAATTTTAGCAGCTGCAGTAAAATAACAAAATCTACAATAAAAAACAAACAACATTTCTCATAGAAAAAGTGATTGGAATGTTTGCAGTGGAGAGTGTTCTGGGTTGGTGTTGTTAGGTGGTTGCTCAAGTCTATGGGACTTTTTTTTACTTTTATTGTCCACCAGGCAAATATCGTTAAATCTGATCACTTACAAGCTTCAAGATGACTTAAGTTTATACTTATGGTTAGTGGTTTGATCAGATCTCTAACATGAAGTAAGAAAGACATTTTAGCACTAAACCAATGAGTCATACTTGACCTTTAATCATTTCTTTATCAAATTAAAGTTCATATCGCAAACTCAGAACATACAGACTAGCAACTATGTTATGTATGTATATACTATGTATTTGTGTGAAGATGTGAATAGCTAAGCACGAGTGAATGTGTGTGTGTGTGTGTGTGTTTTTACGTAAGTGCTTGTGTGTGCGTTCATGTTGTGCCAAAGGGCCCGTGGCAGGGTATCGTAGCCAGCGAGCATCAGAGACATTAACTAACTTCTGTTTTATAATGGAGATTAATGAACTGAGCCGTGGCCAGGGGGAAGACAGGACAGGAGAGGAGAGCAAAGGAGAAAGAGGGTTTGAAAAAGAAGAGAGAGAGTCATATTTTGTCGTGGGAAATGCAAGTCAATAAGGATGAGGAGGAGAAGGAAGCTTAGTGCCCCCATCTTCATATGCCCCCCAATCCTCTCTTGCGTGCGTGTATGTTGTGCACTACCACGCAAACACAGTCCCAGATGAGCTCTTAAAGCTAAAATTCAAAGGAATATCACAATATTCGGTGGTTTCCTGAGCCTGTTTCTGCCTCTCCGCCTGATCTGAAGGCCACTGTTGTTCTTCCTCGTAAATGTAACAGTTTCCACACAGTGTGTTCAGAAACTCAGCCAGAAAGTGTTCAATTTCAGGGCCTCGTGGCCTGGCATAAAACAGTCACTAAAGAGCTGCGCTTTACAGATGCAGGCCCTGCTTATGTTTGCATGACATAGATGTGAGAAATCCGAGAGCTAATGTTCCAGCATGGGTTTTACATTTCTGCATGTATTAAAGCATATTTGTGTATTTTAGTTTGTTTCTGGCCTAGATACAGTTTTGGGGACAAAATGTCTAAAAGTGCCCTAGAAAAATCAGTAACAGTAGTTTTTTGTAACTTGAAATGGTTTATAAAGAGATTAAATAATATCTTTATTCAGTAAATGTTTAAAGCTTTATTTTAAGGTTAGTTTAAATGATAGTTTATAGTTTATATAAGTAATAATATGGTTATAATTTATATTATTCAATTTATATTCAATTATTTTTAATTAAATATATTTCTTATTACTTATTTGCGAGCTAATGTTCTTTATTCACTTGTAAAAAGGTTCAGATTTATTTTAAAGTTACGAAAAGTTTAGATTTAACAACAATGCACAAAATAATAATAAGATTTACTTAATTTTTACTTTATATTATTTTTCACACTTTTTTTTGGGAAGTCTGTAGCTAAAATGAACAACAATACACTGAAAAGTGAGATTTACTTTAAGATTTTATTTATTTTCTTACTTAAAATTTTTATTATTTGCATGTCTTATTTAGTTTAAAATGTTTTTTTTTATGCTATTTATATATAATAAGTTACTAAACGTAAAAAAAATCAAATTTCAACATTAACACTAGTGTAAATAAAACTGCCAAACAGTATAAACAGTAAATACACAACCTCATTAATTATTCATGCCCTGGTGCATGCTGGGAACACCAGCATTGTAAAGCTACGTGTATTTTACTTGATTTTATACCTTTGGAATATACTGATATTTGTCAATAAATATTTCCAGGTTTTTTTTTTTTTTTTGGGATCGAGACCGTACTTGAGGGTTGTAAATATAACAAACACTCTTAAGTAATATTTACGTGAATTTAAGTTTTTATTTCAACATGCATAATGTATAATTAGCGTAATATTTCTATTGTGCGTGTACAGACACAGGCTGTTGTTCTCACAGTACAGTAATGATAGGTTTGCCAGCAACCCCAGCTGCCTCTTACCTGGCAACACTTGAGGGAGAAAAACAACTAGAACTTCCCCTCTTCATCTCTCTCCTTCTCTCTCTCCCCCTCTCTCTTTCTTTCTCTCTCTCCTCCTAACATACTCACTCACTCACTCACTCGTTTCCACTTTATTTGTGCACATTTCCCTCACTTTGTCTTCTTCTGTCTTCTCTCCATCCCTCGAGTCTTTTTTCCTTTGTTTTCTTCCAACCCTTTCCCCCTTTGCTCATCTTTCAGCGCTGTTTTCTGTCTGCATCTCTCACTTTCACCTCTCGTCATGAGATTTACAATTACTCTGCCGTTTCCTTTTTTTGTCCTGCTCTCTGCCAACCTGTTTTTTTTTTTTCTGCCATTTTATCCTGATTTCATGAACTGCATCTGTAGTTCTTTGGGTCAATCTTTTCTCTCTTTGTCTGTGTTTACTCTATACTTTCATCTGTCTCTCTCTTTGTTTTCCGTTCTCTCCTCATACAGTCATGTGAAGTGTGTGTGGGGGGGTAGGTTTCAGTGTAATACCCCAGGGAGCTCCAGTAGAGGTTGCCATAATACCAGCTCTGGCTTCCTCTGTATCACCTCCACACCTCTCTGTCTGTCTCTGAACATTGTGTGTGTGTGTGTGTGTGTGTGTGTGTGTGAGAGAGAGAGAGAGAGAGAGAACAATCCTCCTCTTCAGCCTGATCATACAAATCTACATTTATCTACAGTGTGTACTAGGCTTGTCATTTTAAACATTTATGACTTTCTTTCTTTCTTCTGTGGGACACAAAAAGAGATGTTTAGCAGAATGTTTGAGCGGCTCTCTTCTTTACAATGAAAGTAGATGGTGACCAGAGTCTCTCAAGCTTCAAAAGCAGAAAAACACACTATAAAGCATCATGGTCCATATGTGCTATATTAAAAAAATTGTTTGAAAATTAACTCATTATTCACAGCTGTGGTCACTTTTAATTTCAATTTATTGTTTATTTATATTTTGATTGAATTCGAGTCAGCAAGTTTTTTATGATTAAATTGATCAAAAGTGACAGACATCTTTTGCAACAATATAAATGTAGTTATTATAAATGAAAATAAATGCTGTTATTTTAAAATTTCTATGCATCAAAAAATTACTGAAAAAAGTATTACAGTTTTCACAAATATATTAAGCAGCACAACTGTGATAATATATATCTTTTTTTTCTGAGCACCAAATCAGCATATTAGAATACATTTTTTAAGGATCAGTGGGACAAGACATGTATATATTCATTATTTCTTTGCAATAATGTGTACTGATGCGCTCATAAAAACATTGAGTAGAAATGACAGATATTATTGTAAAAAGTTAAATAGATGGAAACAAAGTGTTGGGCAAGAGTGATGATTTAATGCTTCCATATGAAGTGGAAAGGAGGTGCCACGGGTGTGAAGACAGGAGATATAATGTAAAAAAATTAGACTTTAATTCAGTACAGATGTAGCAGATGGAAAACAAGTATGCACAAGAAGCCATTGAAAGATGCTTATGTCCTGTCTTAGTTTCGGTACTCTTAGTAAGACTAGAGTGAGAGTCTGTGGGCCAGTGGAGATGTGTGACTTACACAGGAACACTACAGGATAACACGCACAAACACACACAGTCACACACGCCGTGTGAAGAATGACAGTGGAGCATATGTGTACAGTCTGAAAGGATCGCAGCCCTGGATCACTGCTTCTGTGATTTGGCACAGGTTGAGTGTGTGTTCTGTGTGGTTTTGTGTGTGTGACAGGTTGGTGTAAATGAGATTCCGACAGCTTCTTTTTCTATCCACCTCATCACGTTTGGTTTCTCGTTTTTGAACATGGCTTGCTTATATATAGTAAACAACTTTGGTTAAATTTAAAACATAATGAATTTGATTTAATAATTTAATATAATGATGCTGTTTTATGGTGCGCCACTTGCTTTTCACGAATGTGCTGTGCTGTTGAGATGCAAACCATGTGGATTTACGGTACCAGAGGTGGAGTGTTGGACTAAACTGTGTTTGTGTGTGTGTGTTATTAGGAGGTTCTTCTGAAAAGAGCCGCAGATCTGGTGGAGGCACTGTATGGAATGCCTCATAACAATCAGGTATGAAAATCACTACAAATGAAGTTGATGATTTTATATCTAGCCAGCTGAAAATGTTCAAGTTTCTTTCATTATATATATATATATATATATATATATATTCAGAATACAGTATACACACACACACATTCTTGCATATCCTTAATATATATATATACTTATCGCCCTACACCTAAACCTACCCCTCACAGGAAACTACTGGCAGTTTTTGAATTTCAAAAAACACCATTTAGTATGTTTTTTTTTACCCTTTTGGTTTACTGGACACAGTAAGTATCTTCATAAACATCGTAGTACCCATGTCATTATGCACATTTGTGTCCTCATAAACCATATATACCAGAACACACACACACACACACACACACAAGCACACAATCAATCAATACTTACATCAATAATACTATTTATTATTGATGCACAATCAATAATATTTAAATATTTTGTAACTACTATAATGTAAATAAAATTAGAATAATGTAACAATAAGAACATTACATTTTTATCAACTTATATTTTTAAATAACTTCATATTTATATAAGGTAAATAAAATAATTTTATTTTATAATTATTATAATTTAAATAAGATTATAATAGTCATCAAAAATAATTCTTAAACTGTATATAATGCTAAAATATTCTTGGATTAATAAATAATAATTAATGATATTATGAATTAAATTTATTTAAAGATATTATTGTTTTCTTTCATGTAATTTAATATCTTGAATCAGAACCCATTGAGAACCACTGTGTATCATTTCAACACCTCTCTCTCTCTCTCTGGATTGGTCAGGAGATCATTTTAAAGCGTGCTGCAGACCTGACGGAGGTGCTGTACAGCGTGCCGCGGAGCCATAACCAGTTGTCCTCACTGACAGGCTCCAGCGCTCACTCGGGCATGATGGGAGTTAACTCTTTCAGCAGCCAGCTCGCCGTCAACATCTCTGAGGCCTCACAGGGAGACCAAGGTCAGTGTGTGCTGTGAGTCTCAAATCACACATTCAAACACTTGCATGTATGGCTGTCGAGCAATTAAAAAAAAATGAATCGCATATATCAATATTTAGAAGTCAGTATATTGTTTGTTTTATATCATTGAACATGAAGCTTATCACTGGCTTAAAGTTCACAGCAAACAATTTTACAATCAAAACTCGATTAAAGGCGGAACTTCATTTACATACAGATCAAGGGGCACGATTAATTGTGTTAATATTTTTATCCCACTATTTTCTTTCGAACTAATCACACTAATGTGTTGCGTTGACAGCCCTAGAAAGTGTTTGACTGGGTTTGATTGAGACATGACTTCACGAAAGTCAAAGCTGCTTGACAACCTCAACACTTAAATTCAGTCACACGGTCTGTCAGTCCTTGTCTGGGTCTGTTCATGTGTCGTTTGGTGAGCTTCACACCCACCCGCAGCCCTGGACCAGCAGCACTGTACATGGTGACAGCATGGCTGTGTTTTGGCAAGCCTGTCACCCACAGCACTCAAAACTGCCACTCACACTCACCTGCCCATAGAAACGACACGTTCATCAGAGTGAGTCTATGTGTGTACACACTCCCTGTCACTCCTGCGAGAAGTGTGAGCGGCACAGGCTGTGAACGAGCTGAGAGACTCAGGATGACAGCGCTAAAAGAATGAAACACGTTATTTGCAAATTCAAACACAGTTTATAAGCACAGCACATAACTTTGCCATCACAGTACTAAATTACATTTTAAAATATATTCAAATAAAATGTTTTCTTTTAAATTGTGATAATATTGTAACATGAGCTGACTGCTAAAGCTGATTGATTCCACATAGAAGGATAAAATGTACACCTTGTATTCTTAATGTTGCTTAAAATGCAGCTAAAATCTGTAAAAAGTTGCTTGAAATTTCTTAATTATGTCATTTCCACACCGTTAGCGTCACTAAACAGAATTGCCATTTCCTTTGGACTTGAATATGTGTGTTTCATACCCTGTGTGTGAGCATTTCCATGCACATGTGTGTTTTCAATATCGCAGCGTCGGGTCATGTTTCTCTTCACCCACCAGCTCTGACACTCACAGACAGGAAGTGGGAATGGATGTGAGATGAACAGATCACTCTCCTTATATCAGAGAGAGAGAGACACACAGGAAGACAGAGGAGCTCTCTCTCCCTTGACACCCTCTGTTTTCTCTCCTGCTAGCACTCATCCCGTTTTCCTCTCGTCTGTTTTCTTCATTCACGCAGGAAAGGAACACCTACAGGAATCCATGAGGTCATGGGAAAGGACCGTTAGCCATTATAAAAATATTGCATTTCATACTTCATGCTTGTATGCAGTGAAACTTCAGCAGGATTTAATTCGGTCAGCCTGCTGCTCCACTCGTTCATCCATCAAACTAATTATTGTTTCAAGTTCTAATTAAGTTACCAACTGATTTACAGAAAACACCAACTCTTTCCTGCAGCTTATTAAACCACATAGGAGCACAGTTTATTTAGGGAAGGTCTCAGATTAACCAGCATCGACTCTGCTAACGAATGATATTTGCAGCTTATAATGCCAGTCATTTTGCTGCTCATGTGACTCTGACATGTTAAAAGGATGTTGATTTGTCAGTTAGCAATTTTTTTTTTTCATAATCTGCTTTGTTTCTTGTTTTCTAGTTAGACATATTTAAAACCAGATAAATTTGCATTTTTTTATTAGTGAGATATATATATATATTTTTAAATTACAGTTTGGATCAATATCTTGTATTAAAATAATATGACTTCAGAAATTTAGATTAATGCTTAAATGAATTTTTGCAGTGCATTTTTATTTTTATATATATATATTTTTTCTTAAATCAATATTTTCTCTTCTTCCTGATACTCTCTCTCACTTTCTTTCTCAACTGTTCGATATGAGAATTAGGCTTAAGGGCTAGAGTGTGGACATAGATGGATGCCAAATGGTATTCAAAGCTCTCTGTCTCTCTTCACTTCCTGTTTAGTTTTGGCTGACTGTGAATAGTACAGGGAAAAAAAGGGAAAAGAAATCAAGAATATGATGTTTCCTTAAGAAATGTCTGTTCAAAACTTACCACAATGCTTGCATGTATGTTGTGATGACTAGCAGGCCAATGTTGTGCAGGGTTATTGCTGGGGTGTTTTTGGTGTTTGCTAGGTTTTGTTACTTACTGGCTTAAGTCAAAAGAGTCCACTCTCAAGTCTCTGTGATATCCATGTTTCTCAGTATGGTCCGGGACCTGTTTGTCATATTGTCTGCCATGTGAAAAGAGTCCAAAACCCCCAATACACACACACACACTGCTTATGGGAACATAGACAAAGTTTTGTTTGACTGCTGTACTGAGTGCTTTCTTAACAGCAGCCGGAAATCTTTAAAATGTTCTCACACTTACCAAGGGATCCCACCCACTAGAAACACAAACCCAGCATGTCACAGACACACATTAGTCCAACCGCAACATCTACAAATCACATCAAGCGTCTTAATAAGCAAACTCATAATAAATCCCAGTGCTGACATGGTTTATATTTGAACTTCAATCTACAAGAGCGTCCTCCTTAACCTGTCGCCATGTCTTATATTCCAGTTTACTCTCGTAACTCAAACAGTGTGTCTCCTCGCGGGTACGTGCCGAGCTCCACACCCCAGCAGTCCAACTACAACACCATCACCTCCACCATGAACGGATACGGAGCCACCGGGATGACCAACCTGGGCGTCCCTGGATCCCCGAGTTTCCTCAACGGATCCGCCGCCAACTCTCCTTACGCAAGTGAGTGTTCTGTTGATCAGCTAACAGATCCTGACATTTCTGCTGAAAAGACCAGCATATTGGGCTTCTTGAGTAGTGTATCCAGCAATACGTTTCTTTTACGTTTCTACGTCTCAAGCCTTTACCAGCTAAGGAAGTTTTCACAGCAATGCCATGTATACTCTTAAAAATGGTCTTTTATGTATTAGAAATGTTCACTGAAAGGTTATTTGGGGAACCAGAATTGCTCTACTCTTAGAAATAAAGGTTCTTTATTGGTATCGATGGTTCCATGAAGAACCTTTAACATCCATGGAAACTTTCCATTGCACAAAAAGGTTTCTTATAGTGCAAAAGGGTTCTTTAGATTAAAATGTTCTTCACACTAAGAAAAACATGGTTCTTTTAAGAAGAATGATTCTTTATGATGGTTCTTTATTTTTTACATACTGGTAAACTTTTTCCATTATAAAGAACCTTTTGTGGAATGGAAGGGTTAAAGGCTCTTCATGGAACCATAGAGGCAAATAAATAACCTTTATTTTAAAGAGTGTAGACCGATTGATCAGCTACAAACCAGCCTGGAAATATTAGATACTACATGCTAGTCATTTCAGCAGGGTTGTTAACTATTCACTGCATGTTTTGGATTCTGATTTGTTGGATTTAACCAGCTAAATTCGACTATTTGTGATTTTGGGTATCACAACAAGCATATTTGGTCGCAACTCAGTCAGCATCGTAATGCTAATCTGAAATGCTAAGGTTGTTTGTTTGTCTATCCGTGTTCTTTGAGGGAAAGGTATTGTCTGTCTGCTGTTCCATGCACTGTGAACGTCTCCATCCGAACTAACTCCACAAACACTCATATTTTTTCATCTCCTTTCATGTCTAACACTTTAAATGACTCCTCCATGCATCTCACTCCGTCACATGCTCGCTTTCTCACTGCGGTCAGGATAGTGAGCTTTCTGTCTGCACTTTTCCTGTGGTCTGCTGCTACTGTTTTGGGGGGCGGGGATCACAATGCTAGAGGCCTGACAATTACAAATGAGGTTTATATACTCAGGACTGTTCATATATTCGATATATAGCAGCTGTATTTTGTGTGATTGGCACTTGTTTGGCAGGCCGAGCTTTGTGCAAAGCTATTTCATGGCAGGTTTGCTTTCCATTCATTATAAAAATGGGAAACAAGTTGGCAAGAGTTTTCAATTGGAATTTCATTGAAGAAAATTCATTGTGGGTTTTGCTCCAATTTGGTGAGAGAGCTCAAGCTTTCTGCTCAAGATTCAGTGCCAAGATTGTTGGCTAGTGTACAGTGGTTTTTATTACCTGTCTTTCTCTCAAAGCATGCAGATGACCGCATATCAGATGTCCTGATAATATCATCTTCAGGCATGCTTTACATATTTGTGTGTCAATACAAGAGCGGTTTTCATGTTGATGCTTCAGCAAAAGTGTGATTTGGCAGTCAAATGTGGACTATATTGACATAAATCCTCCTCAAGAGTTCTAAGTTATGGATCAACTTTGCCATTCAGGTAGCACACGGTTTCATTCCCATAATGCCTCACTCTGCCATAGCCCTTCCACTTCAATTAACTCTCTAACAATCGGCATGACCCACCTCATAACTCTCATCTTTGTGTGTGTGCGGGTGTGTGTGTTTCTCTGTGTGTGTGTGTCTGTTTCAGTCACCCCCTCCAGTCCTCTATTGGAGCCTCATGCCTCCTCTTCCTCCTCTTCTTCATGCATCCCTACTTCCATCTCTCTGTCTGCGGGCCCTTTCTCATTCTCTCCTGTCCATATGATCTCTGCAGTCAAACAGAAGAGCGCCTTCGCGCCTGTCGTCCGGCCACAGACCTCCCCGCCCCCCACCTGCACCAGCACCAATGGGAGCAGTCTACAGGGTGAGCACCCCACCCCTCTCCTGCCTCTGAGCCAATCAGGAAACAAGACCCTATTTTAGAACGAGTCACAAAAAAAGGGCACTACATTTTTGAGGACAAAGTTGATCCATAACTTTCTACTTATAAGACTGGTTGTTTTTGCTGCTGCTGCAAAAAATACTAAAATAAATTTTAAGTAAATAAATAGTGAAAATGCTGTTTTTCACACTGGTGGTGATGTCTGTTGGGGCAAATTAGATTAAAATAATATCAAAATTACTTCAGTTTGCATGTATCACATTTTTCACACAGAAAAAAAAACTTAGCAGCACAGCTGTTCTCAACATAGTTTTTGAGGTCAAAGTTGATCCATAAATTTCTACTTATAAGACTGGTTGCTTTTACAATGAAGAAAAAACCCAATAATAATTCAAATAAATTTATAATAATAACGTTACATTTCAATAAATAATAAATAAAAATTATTTTGATTTACATGCAGGTGGTGATGTTGGGGCAAATTAGTGTAAAATAGTATTAAAATTATCCCTTTTTGTAAAAAAAAAAAAACATATTCATAAAAGATGATCATTTTCCATGTTATTTACATGTTTTGAAACCAAAATCTGTCTCAAGATGCTGCAGTATTGACTACAGATCTAGTTCTAGAAGGAAACTCTTAACTTTAAAGCACTAAAGTGTAGAAGTGTTTGCTTAACTACAGCCATTCGCTAAAAATATTCCTCAGTCCAGACCAACTGTGGAATGAGCTGCAATATTGACCTATAATAACCATAAACCAGTCATTTTATGGTTCAGATAGATCATGTGTTGTTTGAACCGTCTCTTTTATTGTCGACTGACCTCTAGTTGTTTTTCTCTTCCAGCTATGGCCGGTCTGATTGTCCCTCCCATGTGAAGAGGAACCTGATCTTCCTCTAAGGCTTCATTGAGCCCACAACAAACTCACTGGCTCACCAAATCTGTCTGACACTCTCTTATCGAACTTCACCAGTCCTATGAGGAGCTGCCCGAAAAGAACATCAATACCTGGATTGCTAAAAGAAAAAAAAAAGAAAAGTATACCTGGCCTGAAAATGTCCCATGTCCTGAAATGTCAATAGATGTGTTTGTTTTGCCCTCTATGACTTCATCCTTGGATACTCGCCATACCGGGTGGCATTTCGAACAGGAAGCATAAAAGCTGGATATTATCGCAATGTGAACGAGAAGCCGAGGTTTTGATACATCCACGGCCGTAGGGGCTTCTTTGCATGACTGATGTTGTCTGTAGACCGTTCGTTTCATACTGTATGTCTGTCCTGTTTCCACTGTGAGAAGAGAGATGCCACTCATCCAGATGGGACTGTGACGGCTCAAAAGGTCATTCAGAAATGATTCACTCCTAATTACGACATGCAGTGTCTTCGGTTTTTAACATCAAGCTGATTTGATTTCCTTTCGCTTTTGTTTTAAACCATCAAATGAGAACACAAACAAACACGAAATGATCCCAGACTGAAGAGCGTGATATTTAGTAATCATCAGGATGATGATGGATGTCAGTCATTTTTACTCATACTGTTTCTGTAGTTCCAGTATAGTTCCAGGTGTGTGGATAGGTAGATTTAAGCCAGGAATGCTTTCTGCAGTTTTAATCACATTTAGGTACCAGACTTATTGTTGAATTTCTTATTGTGCTTTTTTGTATGTATTTATAAAGTTCGTTTCAGGATTTCTTTGGTGAGTTAGGCCTGAATAATAGTATCAAATATCTATGTCAACACATTTGATGTCTTAATACCTTTTAGATATTGTAAAAAGAGTGAAAAATAAAAGGGATTACACTTTTTTTTGTAAAAACAAAAATGACAATGACAAAAAAAAAAAAAGGTCTGGACATGAGCAGGACACCTGTTTTTTGAAAGCAGGGTGCAAAGCTCCACCACTTTTGTAAAAAAAAAAAAAAAGAAAGAAACTGACAACACATTTTTTTCAAACGTATATTTAATGTTTTCTTTTTGCAAAATGCATTTGTGTTGTTGTTCCTCCTCTTGTCTCGTGTGTTCTCGTGAAACGTGTATGATCATAGTTATTTCCTAATGCACTATTTTTGTTGGGGCACTTACAAGACCTATGTATCTTAGCAAGCAGATGAAAATAATAATAATAAAAAAAGAACAAAAAATTTAAAACTTATACAAATATGCACCAGTATGTTTTCAGATGATTTTTTGGATTGATTACTCTTTGCTTTGGTCATGATAACTAAAATGGCTAATCGTTCATCATGTGATTTTGTTAATGTTTCTAAAATGTTTCCATAATACTTCTCTGTCCTTGTTGAGGTTTATTTTATATTAGATATGCGTTGTTTCGCCACATAGCGTAGACTGGTGAAAAGTCAAAATTTCTATCTAATGTGCTGATAAATATGCCATGTTTAATGTATCACATGTCCAGAAATGGATCACATCAGAGAAGTCCAAACCTGAAATGGAGCACATTTTGACGTGGAAAAATTAATTGATGTCAGTGTTGCTGGTGATATTGTTAGTTGTTGCACACACATGCACAAGTTATGCAATTTGTATTTAAATGCAACTCGCAATCCACATTTCAGTGGATTAGCTGTGAAATTAATTAATGGAAGGAGATATAATGATGCCTTAAAACAGGATGCGCTCCAGGACAGTGTATGTTAAATCGCAAATCAAAAAAATCGTCTGTGATATGATGCATTTAAATACTTTCGAAACGGCAATGTTTTAGGTCTTAGTAGGGAAAATGTGGAAAATCAATGCGGAAATGTGACTTCAGTAATCATCGCATTGCAGGTTGTCATCTTCATGAATGTGTTTTTTTTAGTCATGTTTGGTTTTGTTTCTATTTACGATTACATATCGCAGACTGACGACTTGGAATCAATGTAATTTTAATATTCCAGTCATGAGTTTTCTCTATTTTCCTGGAGTGAAGGTGTGTGTTTGCTACAATGTAATGTGAAAGAAATTGTGGTTTCTGAAGACCTCTTTTAATTTCACAGGTGACCTAATTACTTCACATTCATCCTTTTGGGGTTTAGACATAAATGGGGTAAAGAAAATACAATTTGACAGTGCCCTATTATATTAAAACAGCTGAATTCAACCTCAAAGTTCACATGAAAACATCTCTGGCTGGAAACACACACACAAACACACACACACACGTGTCCATCCATTTCACCCATGCATTCAGTTTCCTAATAGCTTGTGAAAGGTTTTTTGTCATAGATGTAGAGAGCTGGCTTCTGTTTTCTTTTTCAAAACCTGTTTTCTTTGGAAATGTTGACTTCGAGGTGAAATGGAGAAAGGTGATGCATCTTTGTGAAATATGAAATATTATATCAAAATATATCAAAGCACAATGTTTAATTAATGTCTTTAGAATTCAGAAAGGGAGATGTATTCTACTTTCCTTTTTTCTCTTTGACCATGCTGTAAATAAATGCATGTTTTTCCTTCATTTTTATTTCAGTTTTTTTTTTCCTGTGATCCCGTGCTTTTTGTACAGAAACAGAAAAATAAAGATTACATTTGGCTTGAAAATATTTTGTCAAGCGTCTTTATTATGTAAAGCACAGCCTCTTTTTCACTTTCACAATGTTTTAAAACATCAACAGTCCATCGAGTTATAAAAGTCACTTTTTATGCTGTGCTTCTCAGCATGGGGTGAACCATCTCAGGCCAGAAATCTCCAGCTCTGCTCCAAACTTCACAGCGAGGCTCATCCTTCCAAGGTTTCGACCTTTTGGTCTGCTCCGCCTGCCAGCACTGCTCAGTTGATGGGATATATTTTTGAAACCTTATCCAAAGACCACATTTAATTTTTTTGAGTTTTGGCCCTCAAACCCAATGCGCTGAACCTGCGTAAAGACACAGTGACCCATGCAGATCAGAATCAATCATTCCTGAAATCACTCCAGTGCAGTCATTTTCCTGAGCTTTCTGCTATCTAAGACAGAATGAGGGAGATATTCCGAATGTGATTTGTGCTCATGTCAAAAGAAACATTTAAGGAAGGGGAAATATCTGAGACGTGAAGCTGGTGGCCTTTTGATTACCTCTATCATTTGACAGTCTCACAAATTGCACAGTTGACACTGGCTAGTTTACAGCACGTCTGTCTACGCATGAAATCACTCTTACTAGCTATCATCTATATCTCAGAGCAGAATTTCAGTGGAAATGTTTGAAGAGAGAACATAGCAAAAAGGGGGAAATCATTTTCTTACAAATTTTTGACTAATAATTAGAGAGAGAGAGAGAGAGAGAGAGAGAGAAAGATTGTGTTTTAGATTTACATCCTTAAAAAAAAAAATTTCCGCCCAAAAGTTAGAATTTTAAATAAAAGTTTGTGTGTATACTGTACATGTGTCTGTGTGTAGGATATGTATATACATATATATTAGGTATAAAATTCCATAAAGAATTTGGATTTAGAGTGAAATGTCTAAACTATTAATTTTAAAGGTGTTATTTAGAGTACAGAAATCAAGAAAGTTCAATCCTCCTGATTCATATGTATTCATTATTGTAGATTTCCTAATGTAATGTGTTTTGTTCCTCCACAGAAAATTAAACAAAGCAGTATCAACAGCTTTACACATCTCCTTAGAAACATTGAGTGAAGTGTCGTGTTTAAGGATGTTATGCTCAAGCCCAAGCCGTCAAACTGACGTCACCAGAGAAGGTCCGTCATTTCAGAGGGGAGGTGCATTTTCAGATTTGGATTAAAGATTTTGAAGGCAAACTATTTATTTTTATTTTTTTATTTTTTGTGTGTGTGTGTGGATTGACTTGCACGGATGAATTGTTTACCACAAAAATATAGTCAATTTTAATTTCATGTGTACTTTAAGAAAAACACTCTCACACACACGTACATTTTAAAACGACATTGTTTGGTAAAGCCCACTTAATAGAACTCAATAGAACTTGAATTAACTTATTTTTCTTATTACTATTTGGCACACTGATTTAAGCATAAATCAAAAACATTTTTTAGAGGTTTATGCTTATAACTAAATAGTACAAAAACAATTTCTTCACACATGAATGTACCGTAGTGAGGGTTTCAATGCATACATCATAATGCTTGTGTAATTAAGAAATGGACATGATGTGAGCATGCTCACCAGCGTGCGTTTTTGTTCATACAGTAAAGAGTCAGCGAGTCATTGAAGTCCTGTATCTTTATCTTGTGGGTCTTCACTGAGCCTTTGATGGCATTGGGCAGCAGAGCTTGTATCAAAGCTTTTGCTCATGAACAGGAAATCTGCCTGCTATCTCCAAAACGTGTGGGAGTATCAGAGCTCCGTCTATCTCTCAGTCCATGAGACCAGACACACGCCGCTTCCAGACTCCACAGCCCTGAATGAGCACTTCTCAGCAGAACCATGACCCTCCGATTGTTGCTCAATGAATATCCACTTGTCTGTGTGAGTGGGAGAGCGTCTTTCTTCTAAGATGCAAGGCTGCTATCGTTGTCTGAGTTTTCCCATGGAGAGCTTTGTGTTAGACTGCCATCCATACATCAGCTCTACGATAACAGATCCACGCTTCCAATACCTCCACTAACAAACCACTGGTGCAGCCAAATGACGGACATCTCGTGTAAAGGGGGGACATTTACAGTTAGTTCATCAAAGCGTAAAGCCACCAACACATTTATAGAAAGACTCAATATTTCATGTTTCATGCTGTTGTTTGATGGATATTTCAGAAGAACAAAAAGGAGCCTTAGATGAAAATTTAATTAGCAAGTAAAGAGTTTGTGGTAAGGGAGTCAGAGGCATTGGCTTGACTGTGTTTTAGTTGATTTAGCAAGAACCACAAACAGAACGCTGATGTTTCTTAAAGTGGATGGCAACCACAGAGGAAATCGTATGTAAAAGCCTTAGAAAATGCCATTTCAGTGGGAAAACCTTCCTCTGGCAGTTCTTTGTGTTGTTAATATCTACAAATAATATAAAAAATAGTGTGACTTCCTTTCCAGGTGTGTGGGTGAGTCAGATAACTTGATGCCGTGATGTCACTCCTCAAGTACGGACGATCTTTGTATATGATGAGTAAGGACTGAGCACACTTCCTGTGTGCTGATGATGTCATAGTGACAGCACAGGCCCGGTGCTGCTTCTGCCAGGGGCTGGGCAGCAATAAAATGGGCCCAGAGGACTGACAGAGAACTGTAAGTCATCTTAAACAGGAAGTGCCTGAGGCCTCAGGCTACGATGACATAGGAGCCCTCCACCAACTCTGCACAGTTCAGAAGGTGCATAAATCACCCGTGCAAAAGTTCACCTCCAGCCAGGGAAGCCACGATCACTGAAGGAGCTCTGGAAATATAACATCGGCCCATCAAAACCATGTGTTGCACTACAGACCGAAGGAGCACATATTTAGGAGTATCTCCCGCTGTAGATTGCAGGTCCCTCTCGGATTTGACGATTGTGTTACAGTGTGGCACAAGCAAATGGCCTCTGCAGGTGTGAGTTATTGAGAAGTGATCCATCATTCTTGTCAAAGCCAATCTCGGTTTTGATCGTGAGATACTTTGTACTTTGTACTAGCGAAGAGAATTCCATACGGAGCAGGAATGGGAAAGATCTCAGTGACATTGATGGGTCATACGGTGATCTAAAGTAAGAGGAATTGACGTCATTTGATGTACGTTTGGTTATGAAGTGAGACATGCATTGCTGAACACTTGTTACTTGCTTTTCCTCCACCTGTCATTGAGTATGACAAGTGTTACCGGATGGCTCTCGATGAATGCTGCTTTAAAGATGCATTTCTAGGTGGAGGCAAAAATCACCTGGCAGAATGACTGTTTAAACCAAATCAGTTTGTACCACTGTACGTGCCGGAGAAAATCTCACTTTAATTATACCGCAGCAGTTTTTCTTCCCAGTTAGTCCCTCCTTCCT